TTTTTTTGACAATATTTCTCCTGCTTTGGAAAACACCCGCTCACAGGGCACAGATGGGGCAGGCGTACACAAGAATGCCACTGCTAACTTATATAAATGGGGGTAGACATATTTCTGTAACACATCTTTTAAATCCTTTGTCCTCCACAATACTAAATGGCTGGGTGTCCTCAATCACCATGCTAACCAGGTCTTCATCTATTTGAGATTTTACTCCTGAGGAAAGAAAATAAAAACAAAGCACAAATATACATATCGCACACATTAACTTATTACAGTTGTACAATATTGTTATATCATTTAGTCACATTACTGCATGCTATATTAGCATTGCATTTGTGATGGCTCACCTGGTCTTGGTCCACATTCGGTGTTGTCCTTATTCTCATGCAAAGCTCTGTGGTGCCTAAGCATGGATGAGGTGTTGTTGTTATACCCCAGCTCCCTGGCACATAGCAAACACTTCACCTTGTACAAAAGTAAAGACAGCTGAAGATAAATTGCATTGCACAATCAATATTAATTATGAAAAAAAAAATCTTCTGTAGAAATATTACTGTACATACCTTGTTGGGAGGAATGAGATCAAAATGTTCCCACACAGGGGACATCCTCCTCTTCTTAGCTGGCTCCATTCTCTCCTGACTCTCTCTCCTCACTCTCCTAAATCTCCAAACTATCTCTAACTCTATCCAAACTGTCACTGGCCACAACTCTCCATCAAACACCCACATTTTGAATGGAGCCTGAGGGGTTTATATCGGTCAAAACTCGCGGCAAAATCCGAACCACTTCCTGAATCAGTCACGTGGTACAGCCGGGCAGCGAGGCTTCGGACGTCATCATTCTCAGCTCCTCCCCTAAATGACGCAAGCCTCGATACGCGCATCGCGAAAACGCCCCCTCCCCTACTCGGCACACGCTTCGAATCCTCGATACCGAACGTCACATCACTAGTTTCCTTATCTTTTGTTGACGTCTTTTAGGGCCCAGTTTATCTGATGTTAATTTTGTATTTTTCTTGCTTTTGGGTTAATAAAAAAAAACCCTTTATTTTGAACTTTGAAAGCTGTGTCTTTTGCCTTACTGCTTGGTCCCTGACAGTGAGCATGTTAGCATGCTGATGTTCGCTCAAAGCACCATTGTGCCAAAGTACAGCGTCACAGAGCTGTTACCAAGGCTGTAGACTCTTAGTCCCTCTAGGTAACATTAGATGTCAGACTTATCTACAGTATGTGGCTTATATGCTGTATGTGGGAGAGACTAATCTCTACACAGAATGACAAGCCTTGACTCGATGTCCTCTCCTGTTACCTCTGGTGAAGATAATCATTACCTTTCTGCGTTTTCTGTCCTCAGTGGACTAAGAGATTTGTTAACTAGCAAGAACATGTAAAGTCTCAGGAATGTGCTCCAGTTTTGTCCTTTGGACCTGACGGTGACATGCACTCACGTCAAATGTGGTGGGCAGCCCTGTCTCAGTAAGCTTGTGTGGGCTGCCAAGTATGTGGAGCAGTTCTCCTGCTTAATGTTTGGCTGAGCCCCTTGGTTTTGGGAGGCTGGAAATGTGGAGAAAGTGAAGAGATCCAACGTCAGGTCCCAGGTGTGCACTTAA